CAAACTGGCATTTCGATAATAGTTTTAAATTCTTGTAAATTCACTGCAAAAACTGAGGAAAGTCATTATAGAAAATAACAAATGTCTTAGAATATCTCGCAAAAAGAAATGATCCAATATTAGTTAGAGCTAGTAAGGCCAAACGCTCCGTTCTTGAAGAAAAAGTGAGAGCTTTGCGCCAAAGTGACGTCACTAGAGTGACGTCGGAGGATCGGCGCGGCGAAAGATACTTCAAAGGAGTGAACCAGCCCTTCTACTCTCTTTAGCCCTGGCTTCTGTACTCCTCTTATCATTTTCCTTTTATCTATAACTCCGATAAATGATTCAACTATTTCTAAATGACATTTAAATATATTTCCCAATAATTGTACTGAAATACCTATAATGATGCTTTTTAACTTACTAGCAGTGAACTGTGCAGTATTTAGAGTTCTTCATTATTCCTGAGACTATTTCATGATTCAAAATTATTTTCCTCATTAAATTTGAGAAAAATACAAACAATTGTTCACTTCATTATATTAAGCAAAACATTCCATTGCTCTTGGTAAATACCAAATCTCGTAAAATGCGGGGTCATTATAAGTGGGTTCTACTGTATCTTACACTACTAGAGATTGTTCCTCTCTGCTATAAAACGCTCATGAAATATCAAGTATCGCTTTACCAAGTAGCGTCCTTTTAGTTAAGCCGTGAATTTAACTTTTATTATTACTATATATTCTCTGAAAAAGGTGTTATGTTATCACCGCCCTTAATGTCTATTTTCAGAATGCTAGTTATTAAATAATGTATACGTGTAAGGGGTCACGAATGAATACTTGCTCGCCGAAAAGAAACCGAAAATATTATAAAAATTAGTTGAATCACTATCTAGGGAGGTACCAAATCAAATACGACAATATCACGGCCATCAACGATAGCGATACCAGTCCGAATGTGTTAATATTACGAACATTATTAACAGCATAGCGTTTAAAAAGGATTATATCGTGAATATTATACATAATGATAGTTGAGTGCGATGTTAATATAAGTATTGATAAATTTTATTGGGCAATAAAACTATTAACTTATGTAAAAATTACACTAGCTAATGAAATCGGAAATAAATCACGATACATTATTAATATCGATATTTTTACAATGTATCGCGATGATAAAATTTGTATTCATTAGTTATAGGTACTAATGTTCATGTTGGCGACGCATGATTTCTAAATCGCTAAGCATTTAATTTTTACATAATAAGTACAAACTAATTTTTTTTGTCGTTTTATTTTTTAGGTGTGTCTTTGTTGCATCCAGGAGAAGTGAGGCAAGGCCTCCAACTTTTAATTTCAATCATTCTTTCTACAAAATTATGTTAGCCAAAAATTTAGTGATGAACGTTTGGAGAGGGGAATCGTGGGGATCATTTAGACACATAGCACTCCCCGACTGTAAGTATTCTTAAGGGGCGTACAGTGGCGCTCACGTACTTAAGGACATGTCTTTATGAAAAGTAAAATCCAGAATTTAATGTTCACGCATAAGTTTATTGAATTGATAATTATGTATTGGAACAAATAACTTATTTTTAATATATTTTCACAATGAAAATCATTTATCTAACTGTTATACTTAAATTATGTAACATTTTAGAAAAAATATGCATTCCGCATACTTAAGGACAGCAAAATAAATATTTCTAAATCGTTAATAAAATTAATAACAATGTAAAAAATGTAACAAAAAATAAACATTTGGAGCTAGTATTTAGTCGGTAAGCCTTTTGCGGCAATTACTGCTTCACATCTACGAGGCATCGAATCTACTAATCTTTGACATCGCTCAGGAGTATAGCTGCCCAGCTTTCCTGGACACAGTTCCATAAATCACCTAAATTCTTTGGTTTTTGCTATTTCACATATTTATCCACATCTATCCACAGCATCTCGATAGGGTTGAGATCTGGTGATTGGGAAGGGCACTGCAAAACCTCAATTTTCTTGCTTGACAAGAAGGCCTTCGCAGTTTCGCTCGTGTGCTTTGGATCATTATCGGCTTGCATGATTGGTTTTCTTGAGCGAAGTTTCCTGCAATAAGGCAGAAAAGCAGTCTTGATAATGTCCACATACACATGCTGATCTATGATGCCTTCTATTTTGTGAATTGAACCACATCCTGAACGTGTCATGGCACCCCACACCATCACCGAGTCGCCTCCACCTTTTACAGTTGATTTTGTACATCGTACATTAAATTCTTCACCGACTCGACGCCTCACATAACTTTTGCCATCTGAGCCCATTCTGTTGAACTTCGATTCGTCTGTAAATATAACTCGATTCCAGTCAGCCGATGTCCAGTTTCGGTGTCTTTTTGCAAAAGCTAATCGAGCTGCTATATTCTTCTTTGACATCAATGGTTTTTTCCTACATACGCGACCCATAAGCCGAAACTCATTTAAACACCGTTTGATGGTATTATTTTTTTACGTGCTTGCCTGTTAATTCAGCGAATTCTTTTCTGATGTCCGGGGCGGTTTTCTGACGATCAGTTTCAGAAATTCAATGAATAATGCGATCTTCTCGCTCGGTAGTTTTGCGAGGACGTGGTTTTCGGGATGCTTTTTCAATACTTTTGTTCACTTGAATAGATTCCAATACTTGGAAAACTGCTGTTTTTGATAATTTTAACCGCCTACCAATTTCTCTAATGCTTAAACCTTCTTTTCTCAGAGTATCTATTCGACATCCCTGTTCATTGCTAACATTTTTACCTTTACTCATAATAATGTTGAAATTTGTACTAAAAAAAGAAGAAAATATATTAATATAATGTTTTAAAGCATCAAAAAAAGATAATGTAGTAAATTACACTTACATTGATCGATAAATTGATTGTAATCATTCAATAACTCATGATTAGACAAACTGTCCTTAAGTATAAGAAACTTAACAAAATATATTTTTTAAATAAACTTTTATGAAACACTTGTGAACACGAATGAATTACTTGAGGATTGAAGTTCAACTAAGATAGAATTCGTCATTATAGTAGATATCTTGATCAAAACAAAATATTCATCCAATATAATGACGCATTTATTTTGAAAACAAAGTCCTTAAGTACGTGGGCGCCACTGTATATCAATAATGCTAAAACTGACCTTTTTCGATATGTTTTTTCTAAGAAACTACTTACGATATCGCTTTTTGGGGATATTTGAGAATATATCAGTTGTATGCTGTGATGACGTTTTAGCATTAACGGGAATACTTTTTGAGTTATGAAAGTTTTTTGATGAAACTTTTTAAAAAATTGAAAATTTTCAGTTCATAATCTTTTTTTTAAAAAAGAATCTGCCAATTAAAAGTTATCATAGCGTAAACATGTAAATATTCTGTAAAAAAAACTGAATCAATATCTTGTTTAGATGCTGAGAAAAGGTACATCGAATAAAGTGAGTTTTAGCATCATTGGTACATGCCTTACCGACTCCCTTTAAGTAACAAATATCTACTCTTTTAGATAGGCCACGCACCAACAAAGCAAGCGGTAATGAAGAGGCACATAGTTTGTTTATAGAAAGCACTCCCCTCCCGATGAAGTCTGCTGCTATGAAAACTAGAAACAGCGCATTTCAAAGAGGAGAGCTTTTATCTCTCGCAGACCTGAGCCAGAACCTGTCTTAAATAATGACCCAACACCCCTACTTGAAATAGTGAAACCTCGTAACCGTAGTTACCGCCACTGTTCCAGAAGATTGGCTAGGGGAGTTCTTTACATAAACAAACTCTACAAATAGCAAAATCCTAAACTTTTTCGTTAAGATGCGTAGAGGTTATGCGCGCTTGCAAATCTGCCTCTCGTATGTCTCTTACCGCTCGCTCCCTTAGTGCGTGTGTCCTACGATGGAAAAAATGGAAAGTTTGTCAGGTTAATCGATGTATCACTTGCGAATATGTATTAGTGAGTGAATAAAAATAATCTCTGAATAACTTTTTCTTAAATGATAGGATTTTCAAGTGCTAAGTGTCAATCTTAATCTTTATATAGGTTGACTTCCAATTCGTGTTAACTATTAAGCTGTGAACATACTTTCTCTGAATAATTATATATTTTTTCGGACGTTTGGCTTTTGAAAATCTAAATATAAGGCATAGCCGGAAATCGTGGTTCTAATAATTTAGAGAGGTCAATATTTTTGCACTTAATGTTAAATTAACTTCTTGCGTGTTTCGCTATATCCTGAGAGCTTTTACAGCAAATCGAAATTTTTTAGCAAACATTTAAAAAACTCGTTGTTTGCAAAATAATTCCATGTAAAAAATAATAGTATCATTTAAAAAAAAAAGAAGTTATTTAACTATGGTCGAATTAATTTTGAACTTCCTAATTCTGAACAAGATATACAACTTTTTGTATCCTTTTAAGTTTTGTATTAATAGTTGGATAGTTTAAAATTAATAATTAAAAAGTTTCACAGTATGAGAAAATCAAAAAATTTAAAATAGTGAAGCAGATTTTTAAGGTGATGAAACTTTTTTTTTAATTCTTAATTTTTATTTTATTTTTTGATTCCTTGATGTGTCTAAAATCATTTGGTGTAAATTTTCGCTATTCTTTTCAGGTAAGGAACCAAGAAATGTTGAGCACAGTTACGTAAGATGTGGTAATTATGGCGACCTATCCTCAATTGAGTGGGTAGAATCACAAGTAAAATACGCAGATTTGAGAGAGAATACCATAGCTCATATTTATTATTCTGCAATTAACTTTAGAGATGTTATGCTGGCTACAGGAAAACTTTCAGCTGGAGCAGTTAAATCTACATTAGGTAACATACTTCTTTGTGAAGATAAAAATAAGAAATCACTAATTAGAAAGTAGTAGCCACAGAATTTCATAGACTGACATTCTTTATTCATTTATAAGTTAGGTTACAAAAATTAGAGTAGCTCAAATATTTTGATACGTTGTACTGGTTGGTACAATGAAAAATCCAACCGTTTTCCAACTCTTCTGGTCCCAAAGTGGACTGATCGTAAAGACACGGTTCCTAGTAGTCAAGCATCACTGGTTGTGGTCAGTAAGCGGGAGGGTGACCACTTTGATCAGCCTGCGTAGGGACCGAGGGTGCGTGGTATCGGTCTTCGTTAAACTATTCTACCGGGAAGTGCTCAACTTCCCGCGCAGGTCGTCGGGATACCAAAGTGGATGAGCCATTCCGTCTGCAGAGGATCAAAATTGTGATGGCATGTCTTCGGATCATCTTCATTGATGTTTCCCAGACCGTCACCAAAAGCTCATTTTGCAGCTCTAGTGTGAGGTAAATAAAATACCTACTTACCAATTATGAATTTTTAACTTTAGGTAGTTAAATTAGTGCTTCTACTCCTTATAGCTTATAAGATCTTCGTAAAATAATGTTAAATCAATTATAACTTTTTAACCATAGATGGTTAAACATGAATTAATGCTATTCCCTAAAGTTTACAAAACCTACTTAAAATAATGTTGAATCAATTATAACTTTTTAGTTAAATTTGAATTAGTGCTACTACTCTTTATAGCTTATAAGACCTATTGTGAGCTGTATCGGTCCTCGTTAAACTGTTCTACCGTAAAGTGTTCGACTTCACGCGCTGGTCGCTGGGCTACCAAAGCAGAGGAGCCATCCCCTCTGCAGAGGATCAAAATTGCGTTGCGACGGTATGTCTTCCGATCATCCTCAAGGATGTTTCTCGGACCGTCGCCAATAGCCCATTATGCAGCTCTAGTTCGACTTGAATGAAGTACCTACCTCTAACTCTTCTGACCACAGCGTTGCACCGGCCTCTTGAAATAAACCACTAAATTTCATATCTTTTTCCCGTTCTTTCTCAATATTTTCTCATCCTACTATCTCAATATTTCCTAAAGTATTAATGTTACAAAATATCTGAAAATTGATTTTTTTTCACTATATTAAATTATCTGAAATTAAGTTAGTGTTGAAAAAAAATATGTAAATTGACTTTTTTCACTAAATTAAATGATCTGCAGTTAGAAACCAATACGGAGCTTACAGTGCCTGTAATACTTCTTGAAAAAGACCTTTTGGAATTGTAAAAAAAAATTTCAAAAAAAGAAAAAATGAAGAAAATTGATTGGTATCGCTCAATACCATCTAAAAGTAGAATTTTACGACCAAGTTCGGTTGGTTATTGCTCAATGTCAACTAAAAAGTGAATTCTACGATGAAGTGTGCCATAATAATAATTGTGGTAGAGATACTTAGCTGAATATAGTCTCTGAAATAAATTATTTTTAAGAGTGTTAATGATGATATTTATTAAAGAAACATCAAAAATTACACAAACATAATACACAACGCATAAAAATTATTAGTAAAGCTATATGGCATTAACTTTCATACATTTTACAAAACCTGGGACATGTTCTTAATTGTTGGATCTTACCAAATTTCGCTCTGAGTAAAATTCCATTGAAAACTATTACTTCATACTCAAGCTAAGCTATCTCTTCATCTTTTGAATGTAGCATCTTCCTCCTCAATGTGTAAATGCTCTAATAGATGTTTCTATCATTCGCATCAAAGTTTGCTTTATTGTCTGATCAGTACAAATACCTGACCACACTTTGTCAGTATGCCGGACTGTGAAGAATCCAAAAACTGTGACTGCATGGATGGTACTCAGATACATTTATTCTATTTTCCAATGTCAACATATCTTATGGGTACAAATGTGAAAAGTAGCAAACTCTAAGAGAAACGTTCAGATGCATGAAAAGAATTTCAGAATTTTTTTTGGACAGTTATCAAGGTTGAGAATCCAGTTTCCCATTTCCTCTGCTTGATGAATTGTTTATTCTGATTCAAAAGTACTGTACCGATAACTTACTGGTAATCACACGTCCTTCATGGTTGTTCAGGCTTTCCTGAATTTTGCTGAAACATTTCTCCAAAATTATTCAAAATAACGTCGTTGTTGTTAAGTTTGTTTTAGCATCATAGCCTTATCTTCCTGATTAGTAAACTGAATTTCAAATTGATATAGGCGAGACAAAACGAAACAAGGCGTAGGCCTGTGTGATCCGTTAAAACGCATGACCACTCATACATTTAAACACTCGGTATAGAGGATAGCGGTGGTGAAATTTTATTATTTTTGTAAAACTGATAACTGAAAGATATTGCACAGCATTTGAAAATTGAAATGATATTCCTTGTGCATTTATTAGGCTTATTAAGATATCTTTACCATTCATTCAAATTTTTTTCAATTGATTCAGTAATTTTATCACTCGATTTTTCTTGCCTTAATTTGCATTAAATTTATTCCATTCCATTTATTTGTTGCCATTAGAAAATGTTTGTCCCACTTAAAAAATTCACGAGCTCTTCATAATTTTGAAACAACATTACAATAATTTCCATCAGTAAGAAACTATGAAGACGGGGAACTACACCAATTCATCAATTATTTATCTCTACTACAATTATGTATTATCATATCAAACTTTGACGTTGGAATTCGCCTTTTAATTGATACCGAATAAAAACCTACCAAGAATTTCAAAATATCATGCTTGGTGAAAAATCATAAGATTCAAATAGCTGTCTCGGAAAGTACAACAGTCATAAAAAATGACAGGTTTTTGGTGAGATCAATTCTTTAAGAGATATTTGGCAGAAACAGGAAAAAGTTTAAAAATTAAATGTTTTCTTTTTCAAGATGGTGGCGCACGTGGTAAGGGTGTGTGCAAATTGGAAAACTTGATTTATTTATCACGATACCTCCTCCAACAACAAAAACTGCCCAAATTTTCAAGAATTCCTTATGCAATTTGACTATACTATCTCGAAAGCTGTTAAAATTTAAAAAAATAATAATAATAAAAATTCTTGTAACAAACTACTTATCTGACTATCAATAATTTTTTTTCCTCCCAGAATCACTGATTTTATTTCAAAACTTTTCCGACTGTTGGCGTTGACAAACGCGTATCGCAGATCTTTCCGTTACACTTTGATGCATATATATTGCACTGTTTTTATGTAACTGAGTGTTTATGATAGCGGGATGATGTTTATGGTATGCATCGAATGATATCGGGGGTTAACTATTTAATTGCCACTGTCCTCTTGCTTCATTGTTTGTTTTGCGGCTGATGGTGGACGTTTCGTGTGATTTTGATTTATTAAAGATGACGAAAATTTTAAAATTTGTGATTTTCTAAGCATTTTCCTTCGATTTAGACATTTAATATATACAGCGCCATCCATTAAAGATTTTTAAACTAAAGTCGGTAACTCTGGGGGCAAAAAAATGTATGCTTTGATGCATTATTTTGCTGTTTTAAAATTTTGAAGACCTCCGCTGAAGGTAAATGTGTGTCGTGTATTGCTGTTTAGAGCAGAGGGTGTTTCGTAACAACCGTCTTTAATGTATAATTATACAATGCTTGGTAATGTATATTTTGTACACACATTGGAGGTGGAAAATGAATATTTAGACTTGGAAAAAACAGAAACGCTATCAAAAACTAACATTTAGGAAGATGAAGGGTCAGAATTTGTTTAATTGCTAGTCGTAATTAGGAAATGTTTTAAATAATCGCCTTTGAACTCTTCGCAGCTTCCCAATAAATAATACAGATGAAATATAATTATAACTTTTGATTAATTTTTGTTATATTATTAATTATGTAAATTTTTGCATTCTATAAAAAAATATGGTGTATCAATCAGATCAAATTACAATAACTTTATTGTCGTATCATGTTTTTAATCCTTCGGAGCCTGTCAATCTTATTGTCCCTCTTTAACTGCATATATATCTCAATTAATGTGACGTGCCTCAATGATGTGTATCTCAACGACGTTTCATCTGACGTATCTCAATGACGCAACCTCTGTTGAATTACATTATCTCTCTTTTGCAAAATAATAAAGGCAAATTTTTCGAAATTTCAGATTCTTGTGAGGATTCACTTCTTGGTTTGGAATTCTCTGGTCGTGACGATAGAGGACATCGAATTGCAGGGATTACTAAGAGTCGTGGAATGGCAACATCTACTATTATAAATCCAGCATTTCTTATAGATGTACCCGATGAATGGAGTCTGGAGGAAGCTGCAACTGTACCTGTAGTTTATGCTACTGCATTTTATGCCCTTGTGGTGAGGGGAGATATTCGTCGAGGACAAAGCATCCTCATCCATTCTGCAACTGGTGGTGTTGGATTAGCGGCAACTCGCATTGCGATTCATTATGAGTGCGAAATATTTGTGACTGTTGGTACGTAAAATCAGTGGCCCCCATCCACCCCCAAGCTCTTGGGCAAATTCTAAATCCCCCCCAAACTATTCGTTTTATTTAGTGTAAACCCCCCCCAAGCTTTAAGTGGGCGCATCGTGCGCTCACCTTCCCCCCTGGTGGGGGCCCCTGCGTAAAATAATGTTAGAGCAAAGATGAAAAAAATAATAAGCAATCATTCTGAATTAATTATTTTTAATTTAAAAAGGTACAGTGAGACAAAAAAAAAAAAAAAAAAAAAAAAAAAAAAAAAAAAAAACGGACCACACTGAATATTTTTTGATCTAATGATCGTATCCTTACATTTCAGGACTCCATCTTAATGGTTCGAGAAGGTGACTTCAAACATGCAAATTACACTGCTGGACAATTGCTAAGGACGGATCACAAATTGCAATGTAGCATAACATTAAGCGAGACTTGAGGCCTAGTAGGATAAAATATAGTTGCCACACTGTTCAGACATTAGAATAAAGAATATTCATTGTTCTGGAAAGTACAAAAGCTATGAAACAT